GCCCAGTTCTTTCCATCTTTCCTCCTTATAGGGCTTGGTTTCCAGTTCACTGATAGTCCTTCTTGCCATCCTCTGAACTTGCTCTTTCTTTAAAGTGTGGCGTTCAGAACTGGACACAGGATGCTGGATTAGGCCTCACTAGCGCCAAACAGAGGGGGACTAGTACCTCTGGAGGATTTGGAGACCATACTTCTGTTAATGCAGCCTAAAATCACATTGGCCTTTTTTGCAGCCACGCTGCACTGTGGGCTCCTATTCAGCTGGTGATCTACCACCATTCCAAAATCCTTCTCGCTCGTAGTATTACTGAGCCAAGCATCACCCATCTCATACAATAAGGAAGTGGCAGGAAGTGCTAGAGCCATCTTCTGCCTTCCAAAGTAAATACCAAATGAATAAATATTAAGCTCTCCATTTCTTGACTACGGGGATCGCGTGAATTACCCCTCAGCGTCACATCATCCCAGTAGGGAGAGGAGGGGGAGGCTTGTTGCTGAATGTCGAGAGTAGTAGCTCTTGTGGCTTTAATTAAAAACTTTAATTAAAAGCCTTCAGAGTTTTATTAGACCTGGTAATTGATTTAATTTACTGCCGGAGTTCTGTCAGATGAAAAACTCTTTCTCATTTAGCTTATGGGAAGGCCTTCCCGATGCTGGCGGCTGCTAGGAGAGGCTAATGTCACAGTCCCAGAATGCAGTGTCGTGAGCACACAGACAACAGGAAGCAAAAAGACTGGGGCAGACGAGGCTAGATGTCCTGGAACCTCGCGAAGACCAACCAATGTGTGAGGGCGCGGGCCCTGCTTTCCCACAGCTACACCTTCCAATTGTTCTAGGCTACACATCTAGATGATGCTTAACTATACAGTATTCCCAGTGTGGGACAATGGAGAGAGCAATGGACTAGGATGATGGAGATCTGGGTTCGAATTCCCACTCGGCCATGGAAACTCCCCAGGGGAGTGGAACTGTTCAAACCACTCCTTAAATATCTCACTTACCTTGAAAGTCCTCTTAGGGTCCATACAAGCCAGTTGCAGCTTGAACACACTCACGGTAGGACTCCTGTGTATGTTTTGTCACACACACACACACACACACACAAACTACTACTACTACTACAGGGAGATCCTGCAGTCAGAAAATGGGTTGACCTGATGCTTTTCTCTTCCCTTTAATTTAAATCAGTATATGGACGTATCAAAGACAAGTACATTATAAGAAAAAAATAAAACCCAAGTGAAACTTTGTGCTTGTTAGAAAACAATATCCAGGTTGCTTTGGGTGCAAATCCTGCTGCTTTGCATAAGACGTTGCAACTTGAGTAGGCCCATTAGGTCAGTGCCATTTTGGTGAGTCCATTCCGCCACATGTTCCATTGATCCAAAAGGCCTATTTGCAGGTAACTCGGTGTGGCGCAAGGGGTAAATGGACTAGGGCTCAAGAGGGCTGAGTTCGAATCCCCACTCAGCCACAGAAACCCATTGGGTGTGTGGGCCTGGTAAACCATGTAAGTATCTCTTGTCTTGAAAGCCATCCGTCAGTTCTGACTTGAGAGCAGAGAACAATTCCACAGGTGAAACACGGTTTCAGTCTTTAAGTCCGCTTTCCCCCTTTAATCAAGTCTTTCTTTTCAAATACTTACGGGCTGTTCGGACACGGGAAAGTTTGATTAAATGGAGAAAAATCAAATAACTTGCGTGAAATCCAGATTGTGCTCAATTTGTGGAATGGGCGAAGGGTGCCCCCCAACGGCCGATTCTGAGAATGACATCTGACCAAGAATGTCTTTTAAATTTAAATACTGTAAGCTGTTCACCTGGAGGATTTCCGCTTTTAGAACCACAAGGAGAAAAAAACACACAACAACAGCCATGAGGGAGGCAGCTGTGTGATCCTTGTACACAATCCCAAGAAGTCTGATAGCTTTATTGGACCACAAATGAACACAAAACCCTTGCTTGTGGTTCCATAGGCTTCAAGGAAGTTTCAGCATTGGGGGGGTGGGGGTTTTTACAGATCAGAGGTGTGCTTTCAGACATCACGTCTGGTGGTGTGGATTAAAATGTCTCCAGAGGATTGTCACTGATTAAGCACCTCTCTGTCCCCTAGAACAGGATTGTGTACAAGGTCAACCCGCCTTTTCTGGGAGCACGCAGGCGTCAGACACTGCTACTGTATTTAGGATGCTCTCAAAGTGCCAATGTGTTGAAATATTCCTAGGTTTGCATTGTGCTTAGCATGTTTGGGATTGATTTAAAAATATCCATTTGAGCACACTTTTTTTTTTAGGGCAAAGTGAGGTCTTTTAAAACAGCCACAAAGGAGGCTGCTTATTTCAAAAGTGAACTGTGAACATGATTTATTTTGTTTGGGCGGTTTGTGGTTTTCAGAATCTTAGAATGGCAGAGCTGGAAAAGGGGGCCCTATGGGATCATCCAGTCCAGCCCCTGTCAAAGGAGGCACAAACAGGAGTCGAACTCCCAGCCTCTGGCTCCACTGAGCTACCCAGGAATTCTGGCAAATATGCCTGTGTGGAGGAAATTATGTCTTTGGGTCTTGTCAGCTATTGGATGCCAGCCAACCCTTTCTCCCCTGTCTGTTTCTGAGTGCTGTCACGGCCTCACCGGTGGTTTATCTTCTTGCACCTTGCTGATCTATCGCTATGCCACTTTGAAATACGTTTTTTTTTAAAAATGTGTCAGTCGAGATCTCAGCTTCCATCAGAAGAAGGGTGGAGAAGAAGGCAGGGAAACAAGTGAGTGGCCCGCTAGGCTTGGAACCAAATTTCTTGTGGATACAGGGGTCCCACTCTATGTGCAAGTGATATAAATGTAAGAAATAAGCAAACAAACAAAGGATTTCACTATGGCAAACGCCGACCCAGACTCTGTAGCAGGCTTCCTAAGCAGAACAATTTTGAATATTCCAGCCAGCCAGCTAGTTTAAAAGAACTTTTTAAAAAATAAACCTTGCACACGTGGCCTGCTACTTACCTACATACGGACACAAAATGTTTTCTTCTTTTGTTCCCCATCATCCTCCACTGCGGCCTTGTAGTTCAGAAACCTGTCGTAACTCATCCTTCCTGGGGATTCGAGTTATTTTGCTGTTGATTAAATTAGTAAATGCAATCAGTATCTGAAGTGATTTAATTGAGAGAATTTATCTGGGCCTGACAATTTTATGTCTGTTTGATTAAATATGATACCATGGGTTTTTTTGATTCTGCATAATTTAACTTTAAATTCTACACCGAAGGGGGAAGACACATCAAACATTAGTGACCAAAATAAACTCTTTTAAGATATGCATGTAATTATAATTTATTTCAAAAACCACATCTTCGGCTGAGCAACACCTCAGTTCTAATCCAAAAGTGACAAGTATGTAGAAAGCAATATTTGGAGCAGTTCATCCAGTGCTATAAATCTCCAGAGATGAATGCAATTTATTAAAAGTTTTGAAAGAAGTATAAGTTACTATTTATTTGGCTACAAGTGACAAATATATGTTTGTGTTTTCTTCCCCAGGAGACCATTAAACACTCTTTCCTTCTTCAACGGCTTCGCTTTGTCCTAACAGGCCGTACTTGCTGCTGTGATATGTTTTGCCACAAATATTCTGCCCTGTCAACAGTAACACTCGTCAATCATATGAATTGTATCATTAGTGAAATTAGTACTCTGCCAAGGCCAAGATAAAATGGAGGGTACGTAAAAGCAGCCTACATCAAGTGTAGCAAAAGGCTAGCAAATGTGTTTATCTCAGTACAGTACAGTATTTACTTTCTTTTCCAGAAAACTCACAAGTTCATATCACATTCTGTATCACTGGAGCTTACAATTATTTTATCCGGAAAGGGTGTGTAAGACGCCTAACGTTCTGCTAATGCACGAAAAATGCTTCTAAATAACTAGTTTTCTTAATTACAGAATTCACTTATTTTATAAATAAGTGAAATGCATACATCTATTATGTAATGACGATACATTTCCATTAGCCTGCCGTGAATGATCTGTTGCATTTGGATGCATGGTGAGAAAGTTTTATTGCTACAGAGACCTGACTGTCTATCTGTTTGTGGGTCCGTTGTGGCATTGTGGGGGAGCCACGGCCAGTGGCCACGAAGTCAAGGGAGCCCCTGAACGGTCCCTTCATCATAGCATCAAAATGCTGTAAAAGGGTGGCGTCTATGCATGCACATTCTGCCGGCATCACTAATCGCTTCGGAGTAGAGCTAACTTTTCTCTTAAAAGCAGAATTTTTTATTTTATTGTTTTTTTATGTTATTCTTTCTCACCTATTCATTTCATTGTCTTTTAACCCCATTTATTTTATTGAACCCTATTTATTTTATTGCCTCTAACCCTATTTTAATGCTTTTTTTAACCTATTTATCTTATTGTGGCTAACCTATTTATTTTACCTTACCGTTTAAAACCCCTTTTTTATTTTATTCTTTCCCACCTACCGAGGTTTAACCTATTTTATCGCCTTCCACACCTTTCTTTCACCCTATTTCTTCTCTCCCCTTTTAACCTATTTATTTCATCTTACTGCTTTAAACCTCTTTACTTTCAACTCCCCCCACCCTATTTATTCTCTCTTATCGTTTCTGAACCTCTGTGTGTGATTTCTGTTTTTAACCTATATTTTCTTGACAGGGAAAAACCTCCCCTCCTCCCCTCCTTCCCCTGAGGGATTCTGGGAAATGCAGTCCCCCCCTCAAGAAGGAACTACCACAGGCTCGAAACTTATTGGGACTTATTGGGGTTGTGTGTGGAAAAAAAAAAAACCCTGAGGGAGGCAAGATATTACACATCCTCCCCCTCAGGCCAGAGAAAAGAGACACGCACTTCCAGCCCTATTGATCTGCCCAAGAAACGGGACAAGGCCGAAGCCAGGCTGGAAGGAGGCCAGGCCCCCGTTGCTAAGCGACGGCTTCCCGGCTCCTTCTCCTCCTCCCCCTCCTCCCCTCTCCGGGCGAGTGGGGCGCGCGGTGATGACGCCACGAGGCCGCGCCCGCCCGTAGCCAGGAGCAGAGACGGCGAGGCGACTCCAGAGACCCTCCCGCCTGAGGCCATGGCCAGCGCTGGCCGCCGGGTGAGGTTTTCCCCCCGCCGGGAGAGGGGGGGCGGCGGCTTGGGTTGTGTGTGTGTGTGGTTGTGTGTGTGGTTTTGTGTGGTTGTGTGTGTGTGTGTGTCTGTGTGTGTGTGTGTGTGTGTGGTTGTGTGTGTGTGTGTGTCTGTGTGTGTGTGTGTGTGTGTGGTTGTGTGTGTGTGTGTGTCTGTGTGTGTGTGTGTGTGTGTGGTTGTGTGTGCTTATGACAGCCAGCAGGGAACCGAGGAGATTTCTCTCTCTCCCCCCCCCATATTTCCTTGGCCTGGGTCGGCTGCCCTTTATAAGCCTCTCGTGGGCTTTCCTGGCCGGGGGGGGGCCAGGAGATACACACACACACAGACACACAACCACACAACCCAAGGGTTGGTTGCTGAGCTCTCCTCCCTCTAAGGAGCCAGGTGTGTGTCTGTGCGTGGTTTGGGGGGGTTTCGAACCCCCCTCCTGGGCTGGGCTGGTCCCCCGTAGGGTCCCTTCTAGCCCTGCAGTCCTGAAAGGATGAGGATGATGGTCACACCTGCAGACTAGGGTTCAGAGGTTGAGGTCTCTGGAGGTGGAGGTTTAGAGTTCGAATCCTCCTTGGCGGGGCGGGGGGGCTGGACCGGACCCGTCCACAGGGCCCCTTCCTTAGGCTCTGCGGTCCTAAGATGATTATTTCTCTTCAGGTTTTATACGCCGCCCCACAAGTGCGTGCCCTCCTCCGGGCGGTCTGCGGGAGGTCAAAAACATTATTATAGGCGTCGAAACGAGCAACGAACAAGTTTGGGACTCGATCCCCCGTCTCGTTCTTATTGATTTTGCATTGCCTTTCTTTTCAGTTCAGTTGATTGGTGTGTTTATTGGTTTTCTTACGTGGTGATGATGTTGACGCGGTTCCTACTTAACGTGTGTTACGGAACCCACCGCCTCAGTAGCCAGACGTTGCCATTCCAAGCAATACCGGAGTTGAAAGGTGGGGAGGGCAGCCGGGAAAAAGGCAGACACACACACACACATATGAGAGGGAGACCCTTCCCTCGAGGAAGCCAGGGGGCTGGCGTTTGCAAGAGCCCTGTGGGCCTGTGGCGGGCAGGAGACAAATGGCTGAATCCTGGAAACGTTTACCACCCTGTAAGTAACGGTGGGCCAAGGCCAGAAGTCTAGAGCACTGGTTCTTAACCTTTGTTAGATGTTTTTGGACTGCAACTCCCAGAAGCCTTCACCATCAGCTCTGCTGGCTGGGGTTTCTGGGAGTTGCAGTTCAAAACCACCTGAGTAACAAAGGTTAAGAACCACTGAGTCTCCGTCTGCCTTGCAGAGGGTTCCAGATTCTTTTCTTCTTCTTCAAATGACTCCTCTTCTCTTCCTTCCCGCAGACCACGTCCACCTCGGCCTCCTGTGTCCGCGCTCCTGGATCGCCCGTATCCCGCTTTCTCTCCATGGATGCTGCCCGGTCCACGCCATGCGCCCCCACCTCTCTGACTCCGTGAAAGCAGGGGCGCCTGATGCCTGTTATCCCCATCCCACGCCGGGTCCGTTCTTTCCACGGCCCCCACACCACCTGCCTGCACTCGGCGTGCGGACCCGTACGGACCACGCACCTGGTGCGCACCAAGTACAACAACTTCGACATCTACCTGAAGTCCCGCTGGATGTACGGCTTCATCCGGTTCTTGCTGTACTTCAGCTGCAGCCTTTTTACCTCCATCCTGTGGGTGGCGCTCTCGGCCTTGTTCTGCCTCCAGTACTTCAGCATCCGCGTCTTCCTGCGCTTCCAGTACAAACTCTCCATCATCCTCCTCTTGCTGGGGCGAAGGCGGGTGGACTTTAGCCTCATGAACGAACTCCTCATCTACGGCATCCACGTCACCATGCTGCTGGTGGGCGGGTTCGGCTGGTGCTTCATGGTCTTTGTGGATATGTAAATAAAAAAACAGCTGCATGCTGAGCAAGGAGGCGTGGTTGGTTCTGACCGGTGCGTGGCGCATAGGTGTGAACATCTGGATGGGTGGGTTTTGTTAGCGAGCACAAGAGGGTACCCTGCCGACCCTCCCTATCCGTGGGAGATTGGTTCCAAGCCCCGTTCTCCGTGGATACTGGAAACCATGGATAATCGCAAACGTTAGACTGCATGGGACGGGATTTGGGTGTGCTTTAGCTTTGAGAGGTCATGTAATCGCCCTGTTCAGAGATCGCGAGCTGCCATGGGGAAAATGGGAGCAGGCTTGGATTCCTCCCCTACTCCAGGGGGTAAGACACGAATCAGGGGACTCATTTTGGAGAAGACCCAGATTAAGCACTTTCTAGCTATAAGAGCTGTCCAACAGGGGCGTGAATGGCTGTAGAACAGAGCAGATTGCCGACGTTTTTAAAGAGAAACGAGATGACTATCAGTCAGAAATGCTTTACCTTTGAATTCCTGCCTCGACAAGGGCTGAATTAGTTCAGTGGTTCTCCACCTGGGGGGGTCTTCAAACTGCCAGAAACCCCAGCCAGCACAGTTGGGGGTGAAGGCATCTGGGAGTTGTAGTCCACGAACATCTGGGGACCCAAGTTTGGGAACCAACTGGACTAAGTGACGCCGGAGGGCCCTTCCAATCGTACACAATCTTCTGGTGCCATTTGCGTGTGTATGTGTGTGCACGCTTATCCGGCATAGGTTTTGTGCTTGGTATTCCGAGTTGTATATTTGTGACAGCGACTAAAGGGCCTTCCTCCCTTAGTGTATGTCATAATTATGGAACATTGGGCGCGCCTAGCGAGGTGGCTAGATCTAAAATGGAGAAGGGCTGCCTACTATGATTCTGTTGGGCACGCTCTCTCTCTCTGCACCACCCTTGAAAGGTTCGTTTAACGCCCCTACCTAGAAGAAGCCTTTCCCCTGTATTTGTGAGTGCAAGATCTGGTGCAGGCTTGTGGATAAAAAAAACCAAACCGTGCATCGACCTATATTTCAGCGTATTTCCCCGCAAACCTTATCTAAGGGGCCAAAGGGTGGCCGTCAAGGTGCAAAGCCAGCCCTTCAGAAATAGGGACTCTGGCGAATGGGATGAGGGGAAAGAAACGAACTGGGACGAACCGTCGTTCCTGCCCATCTCTGTTCTTGAGAAAAACAGCAGGCAGATGGGTCGAAGCTGGGAGATGCTGGGCTTCGGGAAGACTTCCAAGTCACGATGGAATGAACTTTGCAAAAAAGTAGACGGGCAGATTTGCTTCTTCCAGCCACTAGGGCGACTTGCCGTCCTCTTCTAAGAAAGCCGCCCGAGGGCCCTTTTGCAACCCTTCTGCTTCCCCCACCCCAGCCCGCCCCATGGAGAGGGAGGGACTTTCTCGGTCCCAATCCGGGCTTCTTGACACTTCTGCCCTGATGTTTTTTTTGGGCAAACAGTGACCATGGCCCGTCCTGGGCAGCACACGATCAGTGAGACCGAGGAGGGGGAGGGGTCTGGCACCACGACAGAATCAATCAATCAATCAATCAATCAATCTATCTATCTATCTATCTATCTATCTATCTATCTATCTATCTATCTATCTATCTATCTATCTATCTATCTATCTATCTATCTATCTATCTATCTATCTATCTATCTAAATCAAGTATTGCAAACACAAACTTTATATTTAAAAAAAAAGCTTTGTTCCTTCAAGTAACAAAACCACAAAACTCCAATGCTCCAATTTATACACCCGGAGTTCTTTCCCCGCAGCTTGTAATAGGTAATACATTTAATTTTTAAAACATTGCATTTTTAACAGCCTTGACATTGTATTTCGAATATAGAAGGGCCGGGGTAGCTGCAGGGCATCGGTTCCAAGCCCCCACCCTCTGCAGATCCATTTTTGAGCCCAGAAAGGCAAAAAGCATTCAGCAAAGATCCGGGAGTTTTTTTCCCCCTTAAATTATCTCCGGCCTTTTTGTTTTCTATCTTCCCCGTTTTAATTTCATTTATCCTATTTTTTGTGGTCCTCCCGCCCGTCCATCACTCCTCTCACCCCGCCTTTGTTTCTATGAAATAGCGCTAGACGAGTCATAGGGATGCTTTTGAGAATATTTCCTGTCATGCCATCTATCAGATCCATATTTACCGTTCTTCATTAAACCGGAGTGCACGTTTTACCCTGTCTCTCTCCGCTGAATATTAATGCTAATCTCGGCTGAAATACTGTGTGAATATTCATGAAAGCAGGTGGGGAAAAAAGAAGAAGAAGAAGAATCAGCTCCTGTACCAAAAAAGA